TAATGGTGTGGTGCTCCAGTAGGCAGAACATATGAAGCTGGGAGGCGAGAAAGTGAAGAAGCTGCCCCCTCACTCCTTTCACTCCTGGGGACCCATGGAGAGTTTGTGCTCCCCATCCTTGCAACTTCAGAGTCAGTGGGTCTAGAGTGAGTTCAGTTCCCAAGGGAGACAACTTCCACCAGGGAAGGTAGTAGGAATCCTACTTCAGTTTGTCTCTGTCACCTGCTGTGGTGGTCAATCCTATCTCCCTCCCATCCATTCTGGAACCACCATACTCTTGTACAACTACCCACACCCCTTCTGGTACTTCTGATAGTGGCACACATAGTGGGGGAGCCAAACTCTCGCCGGCTGCTGGCTCCTTGCCCACTCACAGCTGCAAGTGCATGCAATGTTGACCTGCTGGTCAAACACGCCCCTGGCATTATCTCCTCTGGATGGGCAGTGCAGGTGCCTGCCTGCAGGATGGCAGCTGCTCTTTTTGCCTGCTGGTAGACAAACTGATCATGCAGGGATAAGGCCCCAGGGGGAAGTGGGGAGGTCCTGAGTAATCTCATGATCAGTGGGCCTGGTTAGGGCAGATGTAGGCTTTCTGCTGTGGAACCAGCCCTCTCTGGTAGCTGACAGTGCACAGAAAGGAGTGGGCTTCTGCCTTGGATTGAGGGGAAGGTTTTGATGTTTTTTTTTTTTTTTTTTAAATCTATTTTTAGTGCAAAGTCAGCTATACAGAGAGGAGAGACAGAGAGGAAGATCTTCTGTCCGATGATTCACTCCCCAAGTGACTGCAATGGTTGAAGCTGAGCCAATCCAAAGCCAGGACCCTGGAGCCTTTTCATGCAGGTGCAGGGTCCCAAGGCTTTGGGTCATCCTCAACCCCCTCCCAGGCCACAAGCAGGGAGTTGGATGGGAAGCAGGGCTGCTGAGATTAGAACCCATGCTCATATGGAATCTCAGCGCACAAGGCAAGGACTTGAGTCGTTAGGCCACTGCGCCTGGCCCGATTTTGAGTTTTAAATTTATATTTATCTGTGATTTGCAAAGCCCTGGCTGTGTGGGGAGAGCCATTCTACCTGAGGGGGCAGAAAGAGCCTCTTGTGGAGATCCATGGGCGCCCCCTGCAGGCTGTGCTTGGGATGCCACATCTGTCCTGTGCAGTACAAACCTGTACACCTTTGCAGTTAATGTGGGCCTAGATGATCTCATGATTATTTTAATTTGATTGTCATTCCAAATGATTTAATGAGTCTTATATATTTTTAAATAGTATTTATCTAAGAGAGAGAGGAGACAAAGAGACCTTCCATCCTTCTCTCTAAGCCCTGGCACAGTCCTCTCTGATCAGCGATTGTAGGGTATTTTAGGAGCCTAACCAATTGACTTTATTCAAATATCAGTATACATAAGGGAACTCTTTTATGTTTGCTTTTGAAATTTGTTTTTAAAGCAAATTTTAAATTTTCCTTTCCTGGTCATAAAAAGGATATAGAAAATCCAGGGGCTGGCATTGTTGCTGGTGTTCCATAACACAGTTCCAGACTTCAGGTTTGGAGTCCTGGCTGCTCCACCTGTGATCCAGCTCCCCACCAATGCACGTGGACAAGCAGCAGCAGATGGCCCAGGTGCTGGCACCCAGGGGCCATCCACACCCTGGCTTTGTCCTGGCCTCATCCTAGCCATGGACTAGAAGACAGATTATCTCTCTCTCCCTCTCTCTGTCACTCTTATTAAATAAATATTTTTTAAATATCCAGAAAAAGGCTGAGCATGAAGGCTTAATCGGTAATCCTCTTCTTGCAAGCCAGGGATCCATGTGGGCACTGGTTCATGTCACAGTTGCTCCACTTCCCATCCAGCTCCCTGCCTGTGGCCTGGGAAAGCAGTCAGGGATGGCCACAAGTCCTTGGGACTCTGCACCCGCGTGGGAGACCTGGAGGAAGCTCCTGGCTCCTGGCTTCGGATCAGCTCAGCTCTGGCTGTTGCAGCTATTTGAGCAGTGAACCAGTGGATGGAAGTTCTTTCTGTCCTTCTGTAAATCTACCTATCCAATAAAGATAAATAAATCTTTTTTAAAAATCCAGGAAAAATGAGAATCGGCTAGATTCAATTACGATCACTGTAAATATCATCTAAACTTTTCTTTCTTCACAATCGCATAGTTTCTTTTTTTCCCCTTTTTCTTTCTTTTTTTTTTTTTTAGAGTCACATTAAAGCTTGAAACCTTCGACTAAATATTTATCTGAGGAAATGGGGAACTGGGCAAGGTTGCTGCACTAGGAAGTGGGGTTTCGGTTGTGCAATGTCTTTGTCTCCAGTGCCCAGCCACTCTGCAAATTCAAGACCCCATCCCACACTGCTCCGGATGCAAGCCATGATTTGATCACAGAAAATGCACCTCCTCCCCTCTCAGGCTAATGAAAACAGGCCCCATCTCTCTGGATGCCTTGCTTCTTTGTACTTAAATCATTTTTCCTATGTGCATTACAAAACAGGGGTAACTCTGGGATTCTATTGTGGGCTTCTCTGAGGTGCAGCTCTGATGGCATACCATCCCAGTCAGTTACTTCTGAAGGGAAGCAATGCCCAGAGCTTGGGCATCACCTTAAGGCTTCCCCAAACCCCAAGTGGAAAAGATGCACTTTCGTTCATGTGCTAGGTGCGGTCCCTTCAAAATGCGTGTAGCTGTGAAGGACAGAGAAAAAATTGCTGTAGAGTTCCCCCTTGTGTTCAGAGCAGCTGCTGCATGAGCAGGCTCCGCTGCGGTCCCATTGCGCCATCCAGTGGACAGCAAGGGTAAAGCTATCACTTAAAGTCACTCATGGGTTCCCTTGTTAATAAATCTCATTCGGTTTGTTTAAGTCAGATAAATGCTTGGAATTCTAAATGTGCAACGCCGGAACTAGACTCCCTGGGCCCTGGAAAGCCGATGCCCTGTGAGCCCATCCCCCAAGGACAAAGAGACGGCCTCTCTGCTCCGCTTTCTGCAGCCTGCTGTGTCCATTCCTGTTGACCTTTCCTGCATCTTTGGCATGTACCTGCGAGTGCTCAATGAGTCGGGGCATGGTGCTCTCCCAGTCCACCTGCTTGCCTGGTACCAGAGCCATCCGCAGCTACCACTGGAAATGTTGCCAGAATTACCTTGAATATTTGTCAGGGGCCTGTGTATTTAGCTTGTTTTCTGAGGTGTGCTTCTTTACAAGGCCACTGATCATGTTTATAATCTGCTTTCTTCCTGAAGTGTCGATGAGGTTGGGCCAGAGGCAGACACATCTCCCCCAGACTTGAGCAGTATATATGACCCTGTGGTATCAAGAGCTGTGAGTGCTCCCTGTTGAGTCCCTGGGGAGCATGAGCCCAGAGCTGTGAGTGCTCCCTGCTGAGTTCCTGAGGAGCATGAGCCCAGAGCTGTGAGTGCTCCCTGCTGAGTCCCTGGGGAGCATGAGCCCAGAGCTGTGAGTGCTCCCTGCTGAGTTCCTGAGGAGCATGAGCCCAGAGCTGTGAGTGCTCCCTGCTGAGTCCGTGGGGAGCATCAGCCACGAACTGTGAGTGCTCCCTGCTGAGTCCCTGGGGAGCATGAGCCCAGAGCTGTGAGTGCTCCCTGCTGAGTCCCTGGGGAGCATGAGCCCAAAGCTGTGAGTGCTCCCTACCGAGTCCCTGGGGAGCACCAATCCAGTAGGAATGATCTTGCTGCCAGGGTCCCGAGGTGGCAGCGGGCTGTGCGCTGCACAGCATGTGGTCACTTCCAAAGCTGCCAAGATCTTCTTCTGGAGCCTTCACCCCAAGGATCTATCTAACTCAACTTCCTCTCCAAGCCTCTTGCCTCCGAATGCTGCGATCGGTTTACACACAAAGTGTCATTCAGCAAGGATCAAATCTCTAACCTGTTGATCCTGGGGAGACAGTCAGCATCCGAAATATGGCAATACCTAGGACTCTTGGGACCACAGAGTTCTGGGCCGGTCTATCCTGAGGGGATTAAGCAGGCAGCCCAGCAACCTGCAGATAGCCTCTGCAGGGGCTGGAGCCAGGGACCACTCTGCTGGATCAGCACACTCAGGCCCTGGTCCTGACTTGGGCTGCAGCAAACCTCACTTTGGCTGCAGCTTAGTGGGTGATCCCCCAAGTGGTTGTACGCCCAGGAGCTGCCCTAGCTTCCTTGTCAGGGCTCGGGCTGATGCACCTCCTGAAAGGTCTGCAGTTTCTGAGGACACTGGTATCTTCCAGGAGCTGAGAGGAATTCAGGGAGGATGGGGTGTTGTCTGCTGCTGAGAACCCAGGGCCCTGGGGGAGACACCCAGGGGCCAGCAGGTGCAGTTTGTTTCTTGTAATGCCCATGCCTGTCCCCGCAGCACCCCACTGCTTTGTCCTGTGGAGCAGAACAGAACCCAACAGGTAGGATAGGACAGATGGGATTACAAAGTTCAGTGTTGCTGCCTAGACTTTAGTTTTAATTTTCCTAATGGCATGTGTGTACATGATGGTGTGTGGGGGGTGATGATCTCCCTGGGGTTGCACTCTAAGCACCATGGAAATTCTGCTCCTGGTGTCTCCACCTTCACCCCAGGCATTGGCAGCTGGGGCCACATCACCAGGGAGCATGCCCTGTGAAGAGCCTTCAGCATCCTCTTCTGGTGCCAGCAACCGGGGGGGACTGCCTGGACTGCAGTCTGGGCCCTGACAACTCCTCTTGGTTCAACCCAGTGCCTGGCTCTCCCTACCCCCCACGGAGCCACAGGTTGTGTTTGGAACTCCAGGCACCCTCCACGATGAGCAGGAGCTGGGCTGTGTGCCTGTGCTGCCTCCCAGCCTGCACCTGGAGGGCTGTAGAAACAAATAGTGAGCTAGCAAATGCAGCCCTTGGTAAAAGATGGCACAGTACTGAGTGTGTGGCAGGTGTTGGCCTTGGGCAGGCCCTTCCCTGGGATGGGCACTGAGTGCCACATCCGGCAGCCCTTCTATCCCCTCTTAAGCCAGGCCTCCCTCTGTCTTTTTGTCTCCCCAAGGCTGCTCTGGCGGGGAGTTGGTCTCCATGGAAACCACGGAAGGTCGAGAAGGCACAGAAGATCTGGAAAAGGAAAACAGCGCTCTGAGCGTAACTCCTGCCTTCCTTGCCTCTTGCATGCGGTCCCTTCTTCCCGGTCATCCGAACTGCCTGTGCGCCTCCCTCTCCCCTCCGCTGCACGCTGCCCCTTCCTCTCACGCCTCCTGCGCGTGATTCTCACCGTAAGGACCTGGCCCTCACCCAGCACCAAGCTGGGGTCCCTGGACTCTCTGAGTGGCCCTAGCCTAGCAGGTCCTAAGTCACTGCCTCCTTAACCAGGCTCCTGTTTTCTTCTCAGAATTAAGGATTCTTGCTGGGAACCCATATGGTCCAGGGATGAAAAGGGGAAGGGAGAAGCAGGGCTTGGGGGATGGAGGAGGGTGAGACTCTGAGTCCTAGGGTGCGTCCCTCTTCCAGCTCTCCGGACTTTTCCAGTTGGACGACGAGGAGGAAACCTGTGCCTCCAAGCCAGTTCTCCCGGAAAGGGGAGAAAGCCCCCGAGCAGAGAAGCAAGACGGCGACGAGGAGGAGAGGTGAGCGCCAGAAGGGGAAAGAGGCACCACCACCGCTGCCAGTCCCCCACCCTGGCTCTAACTCTCTCCTCTGGGAATTTCAGGGCTGTGAGCCGCACCACTGAAGAGCGCGCCCCGGTGTCCCATGGCGTGCAGGCCGCTGCGGGGCAGACGGCGGGTTTCCCGGCAAAGGCCGAGCAGGCAAGGGCAGGACGCCTGAGACCCTCCTGCTCCGTTGATCCTTGACCCGCGCCATTCGGCGCCCCGCTTTAGCGGAACGGGTCCTCGTCGCCTCGACCGCTGCGGATCTGACGGCCGGGAGGGGGCGTCCTAGGACCGCGCTGGGGTCGGCCAGGCAGGCCAGCCGGCCGCAGCCGGGGGACCCCGAGGATGGCCAGGCAGGCGTCAGGATAGCCTGTATCCCCAGGACTCAGCCCCCGGGCTCTGGGGCTGCACGCTCCTCACGTCGCCAACTGACCGCTCTGCTGTGTGCGTCGCAGAGGCTCAGCAGCACCCCTGGCCTCTCCAACTGCGCTCCTGCGGCCCCGTACGTGAGCCTCAAAAAACGCCTTCGGACTGGTAGCAAGTTCCCCGAGGGTCCGGAAGGAATGAGCTGAGAACAGCGCAACCCGACCCGAGCCCTGCGAGAGGTGCGCCCCCGAGAACGTCCAGTGCTTGGCGGTTCCAGCACCAATAGCTTTCCGAGATGGCTGGGTCCATCTGCAGAGGCATTTGCTGTTGCTATTTGTCTGAATTCACTTCGGTTATTTTGTTAACTTTCATGTTTCTTTCTAGTTGCCGGATTTTACAGCTTTGGCCACCTGTTCGTGCCTATTTTACTTTCAAGAACATTTGGTGTTAAAGTTGTTCATTTTCTGTTATATTTGTTAAAGAGTTTTGAACTCATTAAAAGTATTTATTTTCAATTATATTTACAATTGTTAACATCCGAGTTATTCTTTAGCTAGTGGGGTTCTTGAGATACTCATTTTTACATTTCCTTAGCTATTAAAAACACTGGAAGTTTTTGAATTACTGGAGTTATTTATTTTCAAGAATTCCTCTCCCCTCCTTCCCTGGTCATTTAGTTTTAGAGTTGCTCATGTTTATGGCATATTTTGTTATTTTAGAATTTGATTCTTATTTCATTTTCATTTATTACTTTTTAAGCATGATAATTTGAGAATGTTTTATTTGCTTTTTAAATTTTTTTTTTTTTATTGGAAAGGCAGATATACAGAGAAGAGAGAGAGAGGAAGATCTTCCATCTGATGATTCACTCCCCAAGTGAGTGCAACGGCTGGAGCTGAGCCAATCCAAAGCCAGGAGCCTCTTCCGGGTCTCCCACGCGGGTGCAGGGTCCCAAGGCTTTGGGCCGTCCTCGACTGCTTTCCCGGGCCACAGGCAGGGAGCTGGATGGGAAGTGGGGCTGCTGGGATAAGAACCGGTGCCCATATGGGATCCCGGGCATGCAAGGCGAGGACCTTAACCACTACACCATCGCGCCGGGCCCTTATTTGCTTTTAAGAGATATTTAGTGTGTTGTTTTCAGCTACTTAGTTTTAGTTGTTTCTTTTATGATAACTTATTTTAAAAAAAAAGATTCATTTATCTTACTTGAAAGAGACAGAAAGAGAGGGAGAAATGGAGAGAGAGATCTCCCATTGCTGGTTCACTCATATGGCTACAGCATCATGGGCTGAGCAGGTTGAAGCCAGGAGCCGGGAGCTTCTTCCACGTCTCCCACATGAACAAAGGGTCCAAGGACTCTGACCATCCTCCACGGCTTTCCCAGGCCGTCAGCAGGGAGCTGGATCAGAAGCGGAGCAACTGGGACTAGAACTGGCACCCATTTGGATGGGTGACAGCAGGTGGAGGACCAGCCCACTATGCCACCATGCTGGCTCTGATAGCTTATTTTTACATATTTCATTTAAAATTTATTTGGAGTTAGAATAATCTTCTCTCCCTGTCAGGATTTCATCAGCAGAGTGCTGGAGCAGTTATTTTCACAGAGAACTTAGTGTTGAGAGTTGCCTGCCAACCCTTCCCACCCCACCGCCTCCCTCCCGTTTCCACACCCTTTCTGGCTACTGCCCCAGACCTAAAAAGGCAAATACATTGGTGCTGGGGTCTGGTGGAGCCTTCCGCCACAAGCAGTAGCTCCACAACCGAACTTAGGCAACAAGAGGCCGAAGCCAGAATGACTAAAGGGCAAGAGCTTGGGGTGGGGGACCTGTTTGGCTGGGCTTGGTCCTCCGAGGAGAGGGCACTAAACAGTGTGGGCTGGGGCCCTGGGGGCTGGGAGGTGGACACAGAGCCCCGAGCCAGGGCCCTGGGCAGTGTGGGAAAGTGGGGGTGCCTTTGGGGAGGGCTCTGGGAAGCTGTGGACTGGAACTCAGCCTCTGATGCCCGGACCACCTATGGATCTTGGGATCACAGGGCTCTACCTGACGTGAAGCAGGAGGTACACAAGGAGTGCCAGCCCTCGTCTCTCCTCTAGCCTGGGACCCACCCAGGGCCCGACGCTTGCAGCAGCAGGCTGGGCTGGAGAAAACCCCACTTACCACCCAGAGGGGTGAGCATTTCAGAACAAGTGTTGCACCAGTGACTTTTGGAGTGGCTAGGGGTGAGCTGATTGCATTCGATCAGGACACACAGGCAGGAAGTTACATGAATGTGGACGTGCGATCTGGCCATGATCCTCCCTGTCCATGATTAGTTTCTGGAATGGAGTGGGCCAGCCAGTACCCAAGAGGTCTTTGTTACCACACCCAAGAGAGTCATTTCATAGTTCAAAAAAAAATTACTGCATCTCACATGTTTCCTAAAGCAACCCTGGGATCGGGTGGGTCAGAAAGGGGAAAAAGGCGGCAGCCTGTTGGATCAGGGCTGCTCAGCACAGCAGGCCAACAACCTGATTGGGGTTGATGCTATGTTGTGGACCCATTCCATTTTCTAGCAACAAAGTCGTTTTTGGATGGACTGGATTTCCAGTTTGTACTCTTGGCAAAATACAGTTATACTATGCATCTTAGACTGACTTTGAACTCCCAGTATTCCTTTCTTAAAGAACACTTTTTTAAAAAGATTTATTTATTTTTATTACAAAGTCAGATATACAGAGAAGAGGAGAGACAGAGAGGAAGATCTTCTGTCCGATGATTCACTCCCCAAGTAAGCACAATGGCCGGTACTGTGCGATCCGAAGCCAGGAACCAGGAACCTCTTCCGGGTCCAGGAACCTCTTTTGGGTCTCCCATGCGGGTGCAGGGTCCCAAAGCTTTGGGCCGTCCTTGACTGCTTTCCCAGGCCTCAAGCAGGGAGCTGGATGGGAAGTGGAGCTGCCGGGATTAGAACCGGCACCCATATGGGATCCCGGGTACGTTCAAGGCAAGGACTTTAGCCGCTAGGCCATTGTGCTGCCAGGCCCAAGAACATTTGTTTTTATGCATGTATACACAGAACCTCGAAAAGTTCATAGGAAAATGGAATTAAAACAAAAATCTATTTTACAACAAAAAATTTTGAAATCCAGACATAGTTTTGTTCATGAGCTTTTGAAGATCCCTCCCTAGGTACTCCTTGTGTTCAACTCCCATTTCCTGAGTGCCTCTGTGTCCTAAGGAAGGTGTTGGCACCATCAGAGACCAGGGCTGAATGAAACTGTCAGTCCCATGTGTGGGAAAAAGACACGGTCAGCATCATCATCACGTGGTGTGACAGGTCTGTGACGGACACGGATCACTGGCACCGCCTCTCCCTAATGCGGGCAGGGCAGCAGGGTCACCTGAGCTGCTCAGGCAGGTGAAGAAGGCCCAGAGGGGCATCCTAGGCTGGTGGGTTAGCACTGGCATTGCCACGGGGGTATGGAGGAGCCGAGCATGACGGGAGGACCCGCTGATGCTGGCATGGGGCTCCCACAGGCATTCAGGTGAAGGACTGGTCCTGCGGCTGCTGTCTGCCTCCTGGGGTCGCAACAGCAAGGCTGCAAGGCAGCAACCAGCAACCTCTGAGTGCTATTTTTTCCCCTCAATTGTTCATGTATTTTATTTTTGCTACTTTTTATTATTATTTTTGCATGATACAGTTTTGAGGCATAGGGATTCTCCCCTCTCCTTCCTCTGGGAAGGCCAAGAATCAGAGTGCCAGAGCAACACAAGCACGTGACCAAGAGAGCAAGTCCCCTCCCTATCCTGGACCTTTATGGAAGCGTGCAAGAGGAATGGTTATACAACAACACAATACAGTCCTCTCTCAGGTTCCAGGTAATTATAGGTAAGCAACATAAGTGGGTGGAAAGAACCATGTAGGTGGCGGAGGTGTGGCTTTCAAGCTTGTGGCCCTGAACTAGCTGCCTAAGACCACAACACTTACCCCTGATTTCTGCTTCTTAAATTCATTTAAGGAAGGAAGGTTGGGATGGATGAGGCAACTGTGACAAGCTGGTGACATTAACCCAGGAAGAGGCAGAGGAGAGCCGCAGTGTGGTCAGCTGGGGAAGTTTTTGATCCTCAGGGTGGGGAGAGGGCTCTTGGCACAGCCATGTTGACTTCCTCCAGCTGCCAGTGGCCACCCTGGAATAACTTTTTTCAGGTCAGGCTTGTGGATGCAGCGAAGTGGGATGGTTGAGGGCACTTTGCTGTGTTAACCAACTGCAATGGGTCCCGTACAATGTATACAGAAGCATTCTCACATTGTTTATAAATCACTTAGCACAGTGAGCAGAACCTCAGGTGTTCTGAGACCCTGCAACCAGCCCTTTCACTTTGGCTCCAGGACATCCTATCCTCTTCTCCAGGGTCGTGCCCACCATTTCCACTCAGGAGCCAGTGATGAGGGTAGGGATGAGGGTAGATTCCCAAGGCCTTGGGAAGTAAGGGGGGAAATATATGTATTTATAGCAATATGTACTTCTGTGTGCAAGAAGAGAAAGGACACAGACAAATGAGAATGTGAGGAGTGAAATGGGTTAAAGAGGCAGTTAGGATCCCTGGTCCCTGGTAAAGTTACTTTTTAAAATATGAAGTCATGCTTCTCCCCATTTCTTACCCTTCCAAGAGCGTGTTCTCCCCTTGAGGGAGAACCAAAAGGCAGAACCAACATTGCCCTCTCTTAGCACTATCAGAATGGGGGAAGGAAGCCACTAGTCCCACCATTCTGATGTCCTTAGGTTCTAACAAGGTGTTGCATCGCTGCCCATTGTGAATAAGTTTTTTTGTTGCTGTTTTGTTTTTTGTTCCTCT